ATTTCCTTACAAGTGACCTTATTCTAAGAGTGAGCTCTGCAGACAGAGCTTCAACAGGAGAAATATATCCCCTGCATAGTGTCTAAATGTGAAATAAAAAGGAAGTAAGTACTTTTCCCATATGAGAGTAACAGAAAACAGTATGGTCCTTGCAGGAACACTTTGATACCAGTGCTATTTGTACAATAAGCTTATATAATTAATGTGCTATTATTGAGCATGTATTTCTATGCAGTAATCTACGGACATAAAAACTAGAGAAAGATCTTTTTCCTCATTTGCTTTCTAAAGAAATGAAACTACTTTTAATTTAAAAGAAAAATTAGGATTAGAGTAGCAAGTCAAGGAAATGTAAGGGAGAAGTTTGGTTCTCCTAAGGACCATGATCATTGTTTCGCATCTGTACAGCTTTAGATGTTTCACAGTTTTACAGAGTTTGGTATAAGTGTTTTTGTCATGCATTTTCACATAGTTTTTGTCATGCATTTTCATATAGGGAAAATGTGCTTGATTTTTGAATGCCTCAAATGTGTTCTAGGCAGGTAGAAAAAGGTTAAATACAAATGAAGGACAGATTAGAAAGGGGACTGACGAGTAATGAATGATGCAGAGAGGCAGATATGGTGTGAAACATTATCAAGAGCCAAACTGAACAGAATTTAAAGTGTGAACTTTGATATGTTTGGGACCTCTGCCTTTTTGGTACTGTGTCCAAACTGATAGGACAAAACCAAAGTCAGCGAAGACACATTATAGTTCCTGTCTTTAAAAGCTAGGGGAGTTTGGTGTATTTTTATGCTAACTAGGCAGGTGCTTTGGAGGCTTTTCAGTATTTTTTTCTATGGTCTATTGTTGCTAAAACCTGACTTGTCAATTTATCAGTGGTTAATGAATTAGTAAGGACAGTGCTGATGGCTGGAGATGCTGACAAATTTTATTTCGGCAACTTTTATTCATTCCTTCTGTTTGATTCTTTCTCCTTTTCATGGTTTTTAAGATAATATCTCTGTGTTTATATTTAGTATAGATCCAACTTAAAGCAGACACTGACAACTGAAGAACCACGGGACCTTTTCTTTTGTTTAGTAGTCCTCTTCAAAAACCCATTTCCACAGATAACATTTCCAAATTGAAACTTAAGTTATTATGGAGGTCTTTGAAGGACTTCCCCAAAATAGGATGGGGAAAGAAATGTAGACAAGTGCAGCAAGTTTCCATTTAATTCCAGCTTTTAACTTACAGCTTTATAAAGAACTACACCATTTCTGCATATGTTAAAAATTCTTATAGCAGTATTTGATTAAACTAAAAAAAAAGCACATTTCTAGATTATGTAACGTGATTCTGGCAGAGAAATATATATAAGCACATTATCTTTTAAGAATAATAATTCTATATATAGACTTATATGTATTGAAAGTATGTTGGAATCCTTTTTTGTGTAAGTGATGGAGTTAAGGAGCTGCACCAATCCTACATGGATCATTGCTTACACAGAAAGTTGCAACATAACAGGTTGGCATGTTGCTGCACAAGCTTTAGGAAGTTATTTTAGAGTTATTAATTAATTAGTTATTAATTAGTTTTGCTCTTGTCAGCACAGAGGATGTCAGCAATCCTTACAATACCCATACATTGATATTCCTAGCCAGGAGAAATGCAGCATCTAATAGTTGAGTGGTAGTAAAACAGCATTATTGTCAGTTTTTAAAACTTAACTTCGTGACATATCATCCCAAATATTCTAAAGTCTCAAAGTGTCTCCAGAACAAGTATCCTTGAAATGTTGTGTCTAATTTTGTTTCTAATTTTCACTTCATACATTTTTTAAAGGAAAGGAAAAAAACCCCATAAAGCATTATGGTACCTGTTCATGCTGTACCTCCATTTTTTTCTCAGGAATTGGTTCATTACAATGGCCAAGCTGTTTTTAAGTCGTTATGAACTCTTGAGGCACTTACTGTCAGTGGGAGAAATTGGAAATGTTAAAGTGTAAGAAACCATTGAGTAAATCCCTCACATGGAAATCATTCTGAAAAGATGAATTAGAAACTCTGAACACAAGAAGAACATCCTCGCTTCATGCTCTTTTCTTTTTTCTCACTGAGCTCATACAACCTCTTTTTCAGCTTTTAATTTGATTTCATAGTTTTGTCCATTATCAGGTGAAAGCTCCCAGCTAGTCTGCTACCCACTAGGTCTGCATCCCAGCTGTATTCAGCTTCCCCTGGATCCTGGAAGATTTCCTGTTTTCATTGTTCAGAAACCTTAAGGCGATATAAAATTTTTCTATTACATGTGTATGATTTCCTTTGGGATTTGAATTTTTGAATTTCTACAGAAATAATTTCTCCACGTCAACTTCTCAGTTTGGGTTTCATGGGTTGTTTGGGATCTGTTTTGTTTTGTTTTTTCATTTGTGTAGGCAACTTACATGGACTACAATCCTCTTAGTGAAGCTCTTAGGATGGCTTTAGGTTAGAAGATTATGTAGCCTGATGATTCTAAAGCTGTTACAACATTTCTGGGCTATGTTGTAAAACTTCTGAGTGTAGTGAAAAGCTCTAATATATTGAATGGGACGAGAGGGCAGTATTCAAATCTTTCCCCTTTTCTGTTTTGGTTGTGCAATGTCATTTTGTGAGGTTTTTTACCATTCACAAGAGAGGGAAAAGATTTTACATAGAGATAGGACATTGTAAACTTCAAGTTAAAAATCCATGACTAGATGGTAGGTGGTATGTTATGCTTGAGACCAAGTCTCCTGTGAAGCTCCTGAAGATGTTCTGGAATGCCTCAGGTGGTTTCACTTAGGTGCTTATGACAAGGAAAGAAGTGTGTGTGTAAGAGCCTTTCCAAATTGCTGTGCCTGAGTGCAGGGGTGTTTTTGCAGTGGGGGAGCAGGGGCTGTGTGCAGCAGGCTGCTGGGGGAGCTGCAGGGTGTGCTGCTCTCCTGCTGTGCAGCTGCCCTGCCTGTGGCTCAGGGGGCAGTGGCTGTGTCTGTCTGCATCCTTCCTTGCCTTCACCTCAGCACCATGAGCCTCTGGGGACCCCAGCTGGAACACCTTGTCCCATTCAAGTCAGCAGCAGTTTTGTTACTGACTCCAGTAACCTTGTCTTTGGTCAGAATATCTCTTTCCTTTCCATTTTGCTTGTCAAAATGCTCTTTTTAGAATAAATAAGGTGCTGCATGTGCAACTGTGTTTACTCCTTATCTACCCCATGTGTGTGTAGAGACACCTGTATACACAGACATGTGCACAGAGGCTTCTTCTGTATTTGTATCTGATTTTAGGCAACTGTTTGAAAATGTAGATTCACATACTAATGTACCAATAAACCAGTGTTCTAAAGTGTCACCCTTAGTATATATCTACAGAAATGCAAAATAATGAGCATTTTAGACACTTTACTACTTTCATCTCTGACCCTATTACCACTGGGCGGTTTGTTTGGCCTGTTTCCTTTGCTGATTAGTTTCAGCTCTCAATAAAACCCAGGAAGTCACATGGCACGACAGCTTTAAAAAGTTACAAGATACTATCAGTGTGCGTGATAATCCCCTTTCTTATACCCTTGACACTGTTCAGACATAGTCATAAATATGCTTGCTCCTTTATGTTTACCTCCCCAGCTTTATTTTCATTCAAATGTCTATTCACAGCTGCATAATAAGTAGTTTGATTTGTACCTAATTGTAGTAATTGATTTTCATAATATATGAAAGTCATTGTCAGAATACATTTATGGTTCTGACTGTGAACAAACTTGCTGCAACAGCTTCAGGTGTGTGCAGGAATAAAATAATTAACCAGATCACTTTAAAAAAGTCAATGACCAGTGCATTAACTGTTAATATTTCAGGAATTATTTGCACTTCTGTATTCATACTTTTGCTATTCTATTTCTTTCTCATGTATAGAATTCTTTTCTTGACATATTATAAGCTTTCATTATCTTGCTAGTGTGTTTTTATGTGAAATGACTAATTACAGAGAAATTAGGATGCCTGTCAGATTCAAAAATTGAATGTGTGTCCTGATTTATTCTCAGAGCTGCGAAATAATTGTGGGCTAGGGTGGAAAGGTATTATAGATATAGGTATGCAAAGGAGCTTGCCAAGTGTCTATATATCATAAAATGTCTTAAATCTACAGACATAAAAGTGGGATGAAGACACAGCCATTAAAAAGGCAGTCATTTTTGAGTGTCGCATAATTTAGACACTCTAAGTTATTGAAGTGTCACAAGTTTATTGCACCTAATTTATTAATACAATCATTGGGATTCACTTATGTCTCCTGCTCTGCCCCAAAACAGGCTAAAAGTCTGTTAAAATGCACAGACTCTGCTTCAGCAGTCAAAGTGTAAAATGCTTCTCAAAATACAGTGACATGAAAAAGAATAATTTTACTGTAACACTTGCAGGTAACAGGTGGTTGTATTTCTGTTTGTAATTGTATATTAAAGTAGGGCAGAGAAATCAAATAAAAACTGGGTGAATTTTGTTCCTGTTTATCTTCCCCATTACCACATTAGGTGATGTTTCTATGGGGAAAATAGCATCTTGCTTTGGCCTCTAACAAGGACAAACAAAACACTCTCCCCAAAATCAACCAAGTAAAAATTCTGACAAAAACCTTGTTAAGTGCTTTTATGCTTGGAAAAATAATTTTTCTTTGAAAAAAGGGAAAGTTTATAATTTTTTTTAAAAAATCCTTTCATGTACTGAATTGGCTTTTCTTAGTTAGGAGGTTCTATTTTGTTTATTTGCTAGCCAGGATCACTTTGATGCATTTAAGCAGTTGACAAAATACTGCTGAGAAGAGCTGGAGACAAAAGCATCCACTTGATTGTAATACAGGTGGAGTTTTGACAAAACACCTTATGTGATATCTAAGACAATTAGAGACATGAAGAGTTTTTTTTACTTTAAAATTCTTTAAAATAAAATAATTAAAAATTTCTCATCTTTTGTTATCTTTTTTTCCCCTAATCAGGACAGAATTTTACCCTAAGGCAGTTAGGAGTTTGTGAACCAGCAGCTCGTCGAGGACTGGCATTTTGTGCGGAAATGGGGCTCCCCCACAGAGGTTACTCTATCAGTGCAGGGTCAGATGCTGATACTGAAAATGAAGGAGTGATGTCTCCAGAGCATGCCATGAGACTTTGGGGCAGGGGGGTCAAATCAGGGCGCAGTTCCTGTCTGTCGAGCCGTTCCAACTCAGCCCTCACTCTGACTGATACCGAACACGAGAACAAGTCCGACAGTGAAAATGGTAAGTTCTTGTGCATATGCCCATGTATAAATGAATGTTTATTTGCTGTTTTGGCTGACACTCAGTAATTTTAAATCATTAAAGGAATGGCCTTGAGTTATTTGCCTTCTCTTTTTTTTTTTTTACCTTCTCTGGTTTTTTTTTTCTCTCCTCTTCCCGTAAAAGTCAATATTCAGTATCAGTCCTAACTAACACAACCTTTGGGCATTATCTCAGGCCATGTCACCTGTTACCCTCTGGGGTACAGCTAAGTGGTGATAAAGTTTTTCCCCAGGCTAGCTTGCATTCAAAAGTTTCATTGTAAACTGTTCTTCACGACATCTTGGAGAAATTGCAGAATCTTGGAATGGATGAGTGAACTCAAAGAATAGCTTATTAACAGGGCTTATGTGATTGAAAAAGAAATTTGATTGTGCTTTAAACTTCTTAGCTGATGAGAGCAATTGGAATTGTGGTGAAGAGGGACATGTGGCCTTTGATGTGCCTGGGGGACTGGATTACTGTGCAATTAAAATCTGCAACAAAAATCTTAGCAGCTTTGTAGGATGTGGGGTATGACCATTGTATGTTAAGTCTTAGAGTTTAAATGAAAATAGGTTAATACAATTGACTGATTCATTTTTAAAGCTTTTCAAAGTTTTTTTTTACCTCCTCTTGAGGTTATGAACAGAATCTAATGTGGTGTTAAATGCTAACTGTACCAATCTTAACTTTTATTTGCAGAAGATTTTCAGCTTTGCTAGAATTAAAACAATTAATTCTTCTATTAATTTCATGACATTCTATGTGAAAAACCCAAAAGAGGAATAAAGAAAAATGAGTAACTATGAAAATTAGTGATCGCTATTGCCTGCATGTCTACATGTCTTTTTATTAATTTATTAAGCCTGTCTGCTCAGCTGTACAAAAATTAGAGCAATTTTATTGCTATCCTCCAGCAATGACTGTAACACACGGTGGGAAACAGCTATGTAGGTATGTATGTATAGAAATGCTTAAAAACTTAATGCACTTTTATTTTAAACTACAAGCAGTGAAGTTTAGTCCTTCTTGTTTATTATTTTAACTTCAGCTTGAGAAAGCAAAACCAAAGCTATAATTTGCTGTTATTAATACTTATTTTTCTGCGGGTGGCTGTTTCTACATGAAGATACCTGTGCAAAACCACTGTCTCAAATGGGACCCTCCTTTTGTGTTGGATATAATGCTACATGGTACCTGAGCAGCTCTCAGTGTTCACAGGTGTCTTGTGTCATGCTTGGAGAATTTGTTTTGAGTCCGAGGCAGGTTCTGAAAAAGGAAGACAGAAGTACTTACCTACCACCTTTTGGCAGTGGAGTTTCTGTGTGATAAGGCTTGGTATTTCAGCTGCAGAGCAATCTAGAATAAGTTGTTGAGCAGTTCTGTGATTTTGAAAGGTCTGTGGTGAAACAAATTCTCTTGACCCTCTTGTAAAATTCTTGCTAATTGATCTTGAAAATATATTTTTATGTGCACATGCATGCACACGCTATTTCCATAGGAAGTCATATCTTTGCATTACAAAAGACGTGACTGCTTCAGAGCTACCATAGGTTTGGTATACTTTTTAATATATTTTATACTTAAAGTTTTTTGAAAAGGAAATTATCTGATTACAATGTGCCAAAACATCCTCCATCAGCTGAAAGTTAGATTGTTTTGTTTTTACATGTGTGAGAAGACTGTGAATGTGTTAAAAAATGCATTATTCTGCAGTGATTAAAATTATGGAAGGAATATCTGGTGTTTGATACGACTTCAGTGAGAAGTTTAGCCACTAAAAAGGATTACAGTTGATTTATTTATTAATAGGGAGGCCAGCGGTCCAATTTAAGAATGTACTGGGACTGCTGTGAAGCTAATGAAATTTTGATGGCTTGAGAGTTCCCCAGGGTTATGAAACATCTATAACTTGGACCATGTCATGGGTCGCCGTTTCAGTGGAGATGTTAAAAGGGTGAAAAGCTTAATCTTCTTTGGTATTTTTTCTCTGAATTTTTGTTTCCACTGAACATGGAAGACTTGGCTGAGAAATTGCTTTATACACGTCATTGGAACTCAGTACATTTAATGTTCACAATAGAATAGAAAATACAATTTAAAGCCAGGGAAACGGTCTTGCCCTGGCAGGCACAGGTGCTCTAATCAAAGGGCTGAACTGCAGGTGCAAGTTTTGTTAATTTATGGCCTGAAGTTAACAGCTGTGCCAGAATCCTGTTGAAATCTGACAAATTTGATAAGGCATTGAAACCAAAGTGAGAGTTACAAGTCCTCTGTACTGCATCCCCCTCTGCTGTGTGGGAAAGATTCCTGACTGCATGTTGTTTAATTTATTTTACAAGTAAATGCATTTCTATGCAGCATATTTGCCTCTAAGGTAAAAAAGGAGCAACTGGTGATGATAAGCAAAGCATAACACCACCAGATTGTACTTCCCTCACCTAAAGACCTCAGTGTTTCAGCAATCCCACTGTTCACCCATTGAAACTACTCACTGTTTAAATAGTCCTTTGCAATCATCAGGCCTTATTGGAGTTAATGGGACTTGTCCAAATGATGAGAACTTTGACTCATCATACGGGTTTATGATCTCAGGATCAGCAATTTGCTGAACATACTCGGGGTTTTCTTTCTTGCCAATTAGGCAGGAAGAGAAGCTCAGCATCAAAATAGCATTTCCTTTCCTTCCTTGCAACTGTAATGTACTTGCTCTTCTGAAATAGTTGTTGATTGCATATCCCTCAGGAAGGCAAAACTTGTAATTCTGCTGCATAATTATAATAAGCAAGAAGAAATAGTTTGTTGAAAATACTAACCTTTTATTTGTCAAAGTCTTAATAGTATGTTTCTGAAATCCTACAAAAGTGACTTAAAGTTTTAAATAATCTTGGGAGGTTTAGAGGTTTGTTTAAACAAATAGCATTGCAAATTATCAAGTTGGAAAGTTTTAAATATACTAAGAACATATTGTGACTGCCAGCAGACCTTAAAAAAAAACCAAAACAGAACACATATCAAACATAGGATTAATAGATGTAGTCTCACATCAAAGGTTGTTTTAGGATATTTCTCAGTAAATAATTCTGAAAAGAAATATTTGACTTCATTGAAGTTCCATGTATGACTCTTGGCATCATATTCTGAGAGATTTGTCATGTCAGCCTGCCTGAAGGAGGGCCTGCATCTGTTAATCTGGGCAACCAACCAGCGTCACGTACAGGGTGATGTATCAGTTGGAGCACACTGAGCATGCACATGCTTTTTCAGTTTTTCTTCTCTATTCTCATTGCAAGTTATTTCATAAATGCTGCATCAAGAAATTTATGTTGGTAATTGTTCTAGGAGCTGTTGCTTTGAAATACAAGCTGGCTGTCTCTTACAAGCTTGCCAGTAATTTTATGTTGTTAAGCTGTTCTAAGATTACTAAAGCTTGTCTTTTAAACTGGATAAATATTCCAGGAGAGTATGAGCTAGAAGTCGTAGTTAGGCTTCAAATGGCCCATTTGCTTAAAGGGTCAATATATTTTTAAGGTTTCTTAGAATCCACTTCAATATTTAAATTATTTTTTAAACCCATTAAACTGCAATCCCTGACTTAATGAGACATCAGAAGGTTAATAAGCAAAACACAAAAGTTAATTCTAGAAGTGCAGCACCTTTTTTTTTTTGTTTTGTTTTAAATTTATTTATTTATTCCTCCCTGTAAAATTATATAACTGGTTTTATTTGTGCTTTTTGTGTGCTGGCCTGAAAGTCAGGCATTGATTCTGACTGGAAAGTCACTCATATCAGACCAAAGTCTTTGGTCAAGTCCATGTCACCTTCTGCTCCTTTGGAAGCAGTAGTGATGGTGCTTCTGAAAAAGGGTGGGGCACTCCAGAGACATGCATGCCACATAGCTGACTGCCACAAAAACTACCTGGGCACACAGAAAGTAGCTCTGATGGCATTAGAAGGTGGGCCTTTTTTTTGTGTGTTTGTTTAGTGAAAGTTTTGCACTGATTGGTGTTTATTAGAAAACCAGAGGAGATCAGGATATAGCAAAATATAACGAATAAAGGGAAAGAGGGAGTCAAGTTCATGGCCTCAGGCAGTCATTCTGAATTGGTTAGATAAATGGTTTGAAACTTAGACCAATTTTTCATGGATACAGAAAAGTAGATATTGCTGGTAGATTGTTTATTGCTGAGGGCTCCTATAAGGAGAAAATATCACTTTATTAACTGCATGGGCACCTACTTGCTTCCTCTCCAACTCCAGACAGTTTCTGAAGATAGCATTCTTGTGAATCTAATACTGTCTTGTCCTTCCAGAATGATGAATTTACTGGCATTCAGATCTCTGAAACTCAAGAAATACATTGGTAAGATACTTGCCAAGACATTTTAATCTGTTGTCTCTAACCCAGTTCATCTATAGCGTATAATTGAACTCTGCATTATTAAATAATGCACATAATTCAGGAAGTAGTGTCATATGCTTTTACCCATTTAACATCTTTCTTTATGCTAAGGCACAAAACTTTATTTAAATGGACCCTATTGAATAGTAGCTGCACCTGCTAGCCAAATGCTGAGCCTACTGATCAAAACCAGCCACATAGCTGGTGAATTAATCTTCATCTTACTGCTATACCACCAATTACAATTTCTTCACTTTTTCCCACAGATTTCCATCTAGCAATTGTCTGCTCCTCATTAAGCATGCCAATATGCCTTAAATCTTGCTTTGCTGCCAAAAAATTTCATGACCAGGAAATCCATCTGTTTTATTTCTGACAGAAGTCAGCTCTGAAATAATATTTAATATTTAACAGGCGTGCAAATTTTTCTTTGGTTACGGAGACATGTAGCAGAAATCCATAAACAAAAGTAATTTCTGGTTTTCTAAAATATTATAAGTTGTCTATAGTTACGCCAGTTTTCAGATTCCATTATCATAGTAATCCTGTGGATATATTTTAGTTAACAATCTAATTG